GAGCCAGCGTTTGTCCATAGACAGTTTCCGTGGTCACGTGACCAGCGCGACTAGACACGGAATGCCATGACCTTCCCACCAAGGTGGTCCCTATTTATCTACTTGCATTTTTACATGCTTTCGAATGGCTAGGTTGGCAGGAGCTGGGACAAGCGACGGAAGCTCCCTCCGTTGCGTGGATTCAACCTTACGACTGCTGGTCTTCTGACCCTGCAGCACAGAGGCTTCTGCGTTTAACCCGCAGCGCCACCACATCCCTTCTTTTCAGAGAGGGTGCGGCTAGGGTGAGGATAAATAAGCCATCATGGGGAGGAGGCCTCACTAAGAGCTAGATGCCCAGCTATTCCCCAATAGGATCTGGAGGGTGCATTGAGCCGTATTGTTCAAAGAATGAAATTTCTTTGCTAGCTGCTGTGTGTTTAATGTGAAGTGTGCTCAGTGGCACTCCGTACGTCACACTTAATATATGCCACATTGACTGAAGACTGCTGTCCTCTCTGATAGATTCTGAACCAAACCCCACAAGATTTAAAATATATTATAACTTGGCTTATAGTCCCAGAAAACAATGGCCTGTGTTGGCCACTTGTAGAGCTGTATTCTGGGCAGAGCACAGAGAAGCGCAGTTCTCTACATGATAACATCGCTGCAAACAAGCAGTGAAAAATCCCCAGGGAGAGTGTTGTAAACAAAGGAAGCCGCCTCAACAGAAGCAATGAGCCTGTCAAACTTGAAGGCTTACTTCATTGCCTAACCAGTGGCCTTTGACCCAAGGCAGTCTCTGAGGTCACAGAGAGCTGCCTGGAAGCGTTATTGTTGACTTCCAAAATGTCTGTGATTTGTTTTGCTGTAACTTTTCCTGAACCACAGATGAAAACAAATGTAGACCAGTATATTTCTAGGACTCAAGGTTCAAAATCTCTAGTTTTTTTTCCACCCATTCGCTAGGGTTCCTGTTTCTATACCGGGATGGGTCTAAAGCACAGACATTGTCCCCAATATTCTTCGGTACCATGTCACAATATTGTTAAAATTGAAGGGTTGCTCCTTCAAGACATAAAAAAATCAACTCAGACTCCTACAGATATGTTTGTTCGAGTCTGTTTCTGCAATCTATTCAAGGCAGCTGCTTTTAATTGTCATCTCTCCTGTCCAGTTCGGACTGGAATAGCAGTTGTTTTTGCTTCAAACCAACAAACACAACTACTGGGAGCTTTGGGAAATATTTACATGCAGGCTGTGTCAGCCGCCGTTCCAAAATAAGATAAATAAAGAATATATAATCAAGTGACAAAACTCCACATTACAATAATGTCAGAGCCTTTTCGGAACTAAATTATAATGTTTGAGGATAACATCATTAAGAAAATTGCATTGATTCAATTTGACATAAACATAGGTAACTGCAGGAATGTTGCATTTAACTCTCGGGTTTTCTGAATGTTTCTTTTGTCAGAGGGATCGGTTGTTAGCATATGTGTCCCACATATATTTTCCAAAGAATGAAAACATTCCACTCCCTCGCCCCGAGCTCTAGTGCCCCTGCTCCCTCACACCCAAACACAGATTTTTAAAAAGGTGTCTTAGAACAAAACAATCAATGCCTTAGTATGCCTTACAGGAGAAGAACCAGCCAGCGTAGCCTTGGGCAAGCTGCAGAGTACCAGGGCACCCCCAGAAGAAGGAATTGATAAACCACTTCTGAGTCTACAAAACTCTGGAAAAGGTCTCCATAAGTCTGAGTCAACGTGACTTCTTCCTCTTCCTCCTCCTTCTGGGGAAGGGAATAGCTTTTGGGAATGTGGGGGGGGAGCAGGTTGTTAGGAAACTAATGTGGGCCCCCAACTTTTCTCAGGAAAACTTTCTCAATGGGGCTTCCAACTGCCCCTGTTCCATCAAAATGAAAAGAAGACAGTTAAATCATGTTTTTTCCCCCAGAAATGTTTTTTTTCTGAGTGTAAATAATAAAAAATGTTATTTGTCTCTTAGAATCTGGAAATGTTCCTAGAATCCCCCAGGCAGTATGGCTGTTGGTATGCTGGGTGGGAGATCCCTGGCTTTATAGTGCAAACAAGCAGCTTTTTTTCAGCTTTCAGTCAAATAAATAACATGCTCAAGGCCCTACCTAAGCTACTAACTGGCAAGCCTCCCTATTGTCAAATTTTCATTCTCCTTAATTATTTTCTTTACCTGCTCAGCCAATCACCCTCAGCTAGGCTAGGTTAATATCTCCCCATTGTTCTTGACTGTAAGTATTTACAGTACATTCTCTCTCTCTCTTTGCCCCCCCCCCTTTTTCTTGTCAAGGAAGGAGGAGAGGCAGACTTGATTTCCTCCTCCAGCTCAAAACTGACTTGTTCCATCCTACTGCAGGCTGCATAAGGAAACCAGTTGCCGTGTTTATCTGCCCAAACGGTTTGATACGCATTATGAAAAACCCTTTGTTGTACAGCAGCTGTATAAAACAAAAGGGTGGGTGGTGGAAAGAAAAACGACGGCAGCTCATTAAATATGAGAGTGCAAGGTGTTTGCATTTTGTAAGGAAAACACATAAAGTTTAATTCATGTTCCGGAGATAACATGTAATCCCGCTGGTGATTACAGTGGGAAAGTTAAAAAAAAATATGATCCAAGGCAATGGTTCTTCCTACATGGCTGAAAAAAATTGATGAATTATAATAGTGTCCTGTGATTACCCAGGAAGTATTTTCCCACTATTTACGGAAACAAACAAAGTCCTTGGAGGCAAATCATATAAAGAACAGGGAAACCCACCACAGCTTTTGAAAAGGGCAAAGGGACATTTAAAGTGGAATAAGGCAGAAAATAGTGGTAATATTCCTCACATGGCCATATAGGTAACAAATCCTGGCTGCCACCAGACATGTACCAAATAGTAGGCATCAGTATGTACTTTGAATATGCCTGTAGATAAGAGAATGCCCCTCTGTTCTATAGCCTCTTCTGGGGAGATGTTAGCAATCCCTTTTTGACCATGTGCACATTTGTGAGCTAGTGGTTATCTGGTTTTAGGCCTCTCCCAGCTGTGTTTGGGTTGGGGGAGGAGAATTGCTTGACTTGACTGCATATGCATGTAAGCACACCACTTTGTACAAAGTGTTGGCTCACTAGTCTGTTCCCACTCCTTTCCTATAACGGTTTGTACAGACCTATCTGTAATCCAGGTGTTGAGAGTTTCCAGGTTAGATTCATGGACTACTTTCTCAGCTGTTTGTTCTGAAGATATAGCTGGTCTAGAATGCTATTGTCAACTACCTACGATGTGCTAGTGAGATTTTGCTCAAAAATTCTTCCCTTCTAAGACCGTTTGCTAGATTCTTGGCAGACATGTTTTTCCTAACCCCTGTCAGGTGCTTCCCATCTCTCACCAATAGTCCTTCCTTATGGAAGCACCGACTGTGGTCTCAGAAACCTTCCCTAACAAAGGGGGGTGGGGGTGGGGGAAACAGTACAACATGGATGGGAAGGCAGCTAACTCTGGGGTCAGAAACATTTGTGAATGCTGCTCTTGTGACCTTTTATCAGTTGTTCCTTGGGTTTGGTTAGATGTCCCACTGCTTTGTGAATGTACATTGTTTGTGGTGTATTGTGGCAAAGTGAGAGGTCAACAGCTACTTGTATACACTTCTGCTGTTAATTCACTCTCTGATTTGAAAGAATGATTTCCTTGTGAAATGTGCTGCCGGCCTGGTATTTAAGCAAAGCACGGTTTTGTTTATGACTCACTTCATGCCAGCCAATTTGTCTTTAGGGATATGGCTATGAGAACAGATATGTCTTCTATGAGTGAAGCTGCATGTGAATGTTAAATGCACCCTTTAAAAACATAACTGCAGTCTAACTTCTGGAGAAAAATAGGAAGATGCTGGGGGGTGATATGGCACTGTTTTTGGTATTTTTAAAGATATATTGAAAAAAATCTAAGTAATCACACAATTTCTTGTATGCTTTTATGATAAAAGTGATATCTCCATATATAATGCAGTTCTGTGTATTATTTTCACTGAAATCTAGATTTGCATGCTCTTTTCCTGTAATGTATGCATTTTTTTAAATTGAGAGAACTGCACTGCATAATCTTCAGTAGTAAGGATTAACTGTTTCTGTTTGTGCCTTCTCTCAGAAGCATGGATCAGGTGGTGCTCACACTGAAATGAAAGCCACACAGATTTCTCCCTTGGCCCTGTGAGATGTTTTCATGTCGAGAAACATATTGCCATGTGTACACTTTTGTGAGAAAGGATAAGAATTGGAGCTGAAGGGATTGCTTCTCCTCTATTCTCTCCTCCTCCTCATGATACTCAGAACAATTCAACTACAGAAGATTGGTTTAGAGAGTACCACCAACTGGGATGGGCACTTGAAGTGGAAGACTTCATTCCGATGGAATCTTTTGATTGAGAACAAACCCTTAAGCAAACAGTTAGTTGTTCTAACAAACCCCATAGGATTCTCCACTCCCTATCCCTGCCTATTTCTTAGGCATCCAGAGTACATACATACGTATGTGTTACACACACACACACACACACACACACACACACACACACACACACACACACGTGTGATAACGGGAAAACTGAACAAGTACATACAGGGCTGAAATCTAGCTTAAGAACTGGGGAATGAGCAGAAGTCTCTGGCTGAAATCCAGCAGCAAGTTGCAGCTGGAGGAGGCTCATTGAATGAAACTAGCTTATGGAAAACTTGACTCACCAAATGCCCACTGATTCAATGGGCCTACTCTAGTTGCAGCAACTTACTACTAGAGTTCAGCCTCAATGTTTAGTTATGGGCTGCTACCTACTTTCCACCAAGAAAAGGGGTAGCATGTTATAAACCATTGCCTTTATTTTGGAAGATGTGTGTATGTGCTTTTTTTTTAAGTGTAGGGAAGGAAAAATCTGTAAACTCTGTGTTTCACATTTGAATTTGTTAAACTGAAAGTGCTTTTCTGTTACTGCTTTTTTAATTACCAGGTAATCGTTTGGTGGTATTATTCCCGTATGGCAAATACAGAGTTGAGTCATGAGTTTGGGGTAGAGATGAGATTCAACCAGTCTTCGTGATTTACAGCTCCATTGCACTGCATCTGCTCTCTAAGGTAGACCAGTATTCGTGGTCATATATTACATATCAGAGGCAGAAAAAGAAATGCCTTTAGGCATTTGGCTGAGGAGTCAGAGGTTGGGAGTTCGAATCCCCCGCTGTGACTCCCTGACAGGAGCTGGACTTGATGATCTATGGGGTCCCTTCCAGCTCTGCAGCTCTAAGATTTATTAAGGCCACCTGGTGAGTTCATGGCCAAGGAGAGATTCAAACTGAAGTCTTGGTGATTTGTACTTCAGCTTCTAGGCTAGACCATCTATCTCTTTGGTTGTTTTTCTTCTTTAAACAATCCTTGTAAAAAATAGTGGCACTATTCTGCTTTTCTATTTGTTTCCTGTGTGAGGTAGTTTGCTTAGTGCACATACACTGATTTGGAAATCATGGGCTTTAACTGAAAGCTTACCTGAGAAAGCTGTTTATCCCTCAGTAAGGATAGGGAAGATTTTAGTTATACAGACATAGTAAAAGTGTACTTCCTGAATTGATGTGTAAACCAGAAATGTGCTTAGCTGTTAGAATTCCAGATTCTCCAAAGTTTGCAGTGCAGTTCCTTGAACAAAAATGCACACGAAGAAGTTATATAACAGGGAAATGACATTATATATGCAAAATGTCTTGCAGAAATGCATGCATCAGGCAAAAGTGCATGCAGAAATCAATACAATTATCCATGCAAACATTACAAAACCAGTATAGAAATGGTATGAAATTAAGAGGAGGCTAATAAAACAGAAAACTGAAATTGACAATCATTAGTAGGGACGTGGTGGAGCTGCAGGTTAAACTGCTGAAGCCTCTGTGCTGCCAGGTCAGAAGACCCGCAGTCGTAAGATCGAATCCATGCGACAGAGTGAGGCCTTGTCGCTTGTCCCAGCTCCTGCCAACCTAGTGGTTCGAAAGCATGCAAAATGCAAAAATGTGAGTGGATAAACAGGTACCCCCTTGGTGGGAAGGTAAACAGCATTCCGTGTCTAGTCACGCTGGCCACGTGACCACGGAGGATTGTCTGCAGACAAATGCTAGCTCTATGGGTTGGAAACAGAAATGAGCACCGCCATCTACAGTCGGACATGACTGGACAAATTGTCAAGGGGAACCTTTACCTTTTTTTAAAGTCCCTAACTCAGGGATTAGACTAATGAAGTGGATGATTACTTTTTACCTAACATTTTAAATATGTCATTAATCCTTCTTTAATATTTGAATCATTTGCTGGTTTTGGCCCTTAATATTGTGTTTTCAATGACGTAAGTTGCCTTGAGTCTTTTTTTAAGGAGAAAGGCGGGGTAGAAATATTTTAAATAACTAAATCAATAGCAGCAACTCAATGGCAAGACTTACTACTACTGCAACTTGTAGCCTGCATAATTACATTGTAACCCTCCCAGGGAGTGCTTTAAGAGTTATGGGGCAGTATATAAGCAACATGCTTTTTGTTTTACACGTTCTAGTACCTTGTCCGTCAGTCTAGATTCAGGCCTAAGGTTAGTAAGGAAATGGCAGTGGCCCCAGAGTTTGGCAGATTAACTTGTTTGAACTCCCAGAAAACTGATACATATTTGAGGGGAGTGATGGCCTTCTGTTCCCCCTGCCCCCACAGATGAATGCCCAAATAAGAAGTCAGGGTACATAGTCTATGCTAATTTTTTTTCCTTTTATTCACAGGGTGAAAAATAGCTCCCAGCAAAGAAGAATGAAAAATAAATGGGAGAATTTGTGGTTTTTAAACACTCACTGAACACAACCACAGTGCAAACAGGCTGCTGATTTGGATGGCTGTTCCAATAAGAACTTCTGTTGCTGCCCTCTTTCTCATCTAACACAGAGATTATGCCATTGAATAGGACATCAATGGACCCTTGGAATTTTGGACAATAGGTATTCTAAAGTTTTGTATCCAGCTGTGGAAAAAGAGCTCCCCCCATTTAGCTTCAGGAATGTCCACAGCCCATGTTTCCATTGCAGAAGGTCCCAGGTTCAATCTCCAGTGGTTGTTATGTGCTGTCAAGTCACCTCTGACATCATGATGACCCTATGAATGAATGATTTTCAAAATGTCTTGTCATCACCTGCTGTGCAACAGTTAAAGGCTTTTGAGGAGCACACCAGGGAAAGACTGCTTTCTCTGCCTTGACGTCTTGGAGAACTTTGGCCAGTTGTAATTCATGAATCGGATTAAATGGACTCATGGCTGCACTCAGTGTAGGGCCGCTTCGTCTGTTTTGCTGGACTAAGCAGCTGCCAGAACTGATATCTTAAATGCTCTGTGTTCTACAGAGATTCCTTCTGCCAACAGAACATACACATCTTGAACAGGTTGCAAGAGACAAGGGAGCCTATTTTGGCTTTGGAAATTGTGTGAGCTGATATGGGACACCCAGACAATGCCTCGTCTGGGAGCGTACAAAGCCAGCATTTCCTTTCTACAAATGTTACTGCAGTAGGTAAGTCTGATTGATCATTGCATTACAATTCATATGAGAAGCCACTTGCCTGTGATGAACCCCCCCCCCACAATTTTGTTGTTGTTGTAAGGTGGGCTGGCTTCCACACATGGGGAAGAAGTTGCCCACACCAACCTTATGCCCATTGCTTACCCAGGAATCCATTATTGAATTATCTGGTTCAGTATTTCATTGTATTTTGTCTTTACTTGATCATGTCCTAGCACACTTTGCAATGTGTAGCCTTGAAAATACTGTATTGGGCTGCAAATCCTATTGGCCATTTAGCCTAGCTCAGAGGGTGTTATGATGGGAGTTGTAGTCTGTAGAGCTGCACTTCTCCACTCATGTTCCCAATGGTTGCCGTTTGTTCAAATAGGTGTGTAAAGTTCCAATTTCTTGCCTTTGCTGTTTATAACCTCACAATGCAATACTCCGCAGATCTACTCAGAAAGGAAGCTCTGTTGAATACAGTGAGATTTATCTTCCACAAAAATAACCAGTTTCTACCCAATGTGGAGATTTTTGTGCAGTTGCTTTCTGGGTATTACAAACCCTGTAGCCCATGTCTAAAAGCTTTTTCACGCTGGCAGTTTTGAAAATAGAGGTGGCCTCTTGTTTTGCAGCTTGCTACCAAGACAGCTGTTTATTGGGCTGCTGTGATATAAGAATGGAGACACTTATCAATAAATAGTAGCACTTGTTAGCCTTGCCAGAGCTGGCAAGTATGAGTAATGTAGGGAATCTTATTTTAAAATCTGAGAAATGGGGATATTTTTAATGGTATTTTGGCATATACTTGATTGATCGGTAGAGAGGAAAATTTGAAGATTATGGTGTCTGATGCAGTAGAAGGAAGAACATGTTTGGACAGTTGCGATTCCTAAATGTAAAATGTGTAGATTGCAAACAGTCTAGCAATTTCAACACCTCTGGGACAACACCATTCTTCTCAGCATGCTAGTTTTGTATTCCTGGGCTTTCTTGCACATTGTTTCTATGCAGTCATCCATGATCATCAAATCAAGTTGCCCCATATACAACACAACAGTGGTGGCTGGTGCCCACTGGAATTGGTCGGGAAAGGGCAGTCACAGGAAGGAAAACCCAGGTCATGTGAGGCTTACGGACCTTTTCCTTCTCCCTTGAAATGACATTGCAGTGTAGCTCCTCAACCTCTAACCAAGCCAAAATTATTCTCTGGTTTTTCTTTGGTAGGCTTCCATACTACCTACCGTACACATTTCTTTGCTGGTGAGAAGTGTGGTCTCTGTCACCTTTTATAGACAACAAAGAGGGAAAAAAGGGGGACACTCTCAACTTTCCCCTAACAATAATACAGGAGTGAAGGAGACTTAGGCCCAAGAAAAAATGGCTAGTCCCACCATGCCTCTTCATTGGCAGCAGGTTAGCTAGCGGTGATGGGAATTGGAGTTCCCCAGGTCTGCAATATGGAATTCCTAAACATGTGACCAGGCTTTTGCATTAGAAGGTCTGTAGAGAAAATGAGAGATCTTTTTATGTATGTGGCGGCAGCACATGTGGATCTAGAAACTGCTAAATGTTTCATTGAACCTGAATGTAGGATCAATTCCCGTGAACTATGGCTTGAAATTTCCAGTTTTAATTGGGTATATTTGGTGTTGTAGGGTGTTTGTGTGATTATTATTATTGGGAGTGATAGTGGTAGTGTGTTTTGGTTTAACTGTGAAGGCTAGCAATGTTATTGCCGAGCAAAAATCCTAGGAACTTGTCAACAGTAAATGCACTGCAAGAGTTTCTTTGCTCTCAAGCTTTTCAATAGCTAAAACAGTCCAGATGGTAGTTTGAGTTTTAATTTTTTCCCTCGAGAAGCCTGCCTGTTCTTGAAAGAGTAACTTGCTTAACAAATAATGAAATATGTAATAATAAATATACTCATGTGTGTCAAGGGATTCACCATCCAGCTTTCTTTTCTTATTGGAGTTTTTTTTGTTACAGCAGAACATGCAGTGGATTTTCACATTACTTTATGTTTGTTTTTAGATGCATGTAGTTCTTTTTTTTGGTGTCACATTCCTGTGGGGGAAGCAGAAGCTAATTATGCTGCGCCAACAGTAGGTTGCACATTAACATAAAAACAAATAGGGAGTTAGCTACATTTATGTATGGAGGAAACTTAATTTTAAATCATTTTTAAAAAGGACTTCCTCAAATTTCTCTATAGCTAGCATGAAAAGAGCTGGAATTTTTTTTAATTGAGTGCAAGAGAAGCAGATGAAGGACACTCAGTACTTAACTTTGAAAAATCTGGACTTGGGTCCTTGTATATTTGGCTATGCTTGGACCATTACTACTTCTGAGATGTTTCTCAGGTAGGCAGGTACATGGTAGTCATGTTGAACCTAGCCAACAACACCTATTTATTTTCCTGGTCTCATTTTAGTGGCAGACTGCTAGGATGTTGGATCTTCCACCTTCATTCATAGTAGCCTGTCCATACCTGTTGCTGTTGTTGCTGTTGAAATGATGGTTTGACTGTTGAATTGATCAGTAGGTCCAAATGAACATGTTACCTAGTTATAGTGTTCTCTTTTTCTGTCTCACATGCTGCCTCAAACACAGGAACATAAACCCTGTTTTGTATTTCTTCCAGTTCTACTTAAAAGCACCGTTTTTCACAATAGCTTTTCAATCTCAATTTTTTGATTGAGCTTTTCAATCAAGCTTTCCAAGCCTTTTTCAGTTTTGGAATGAAAACTGGAGTAGACTCCCTCCCCTGCTACTGCATAGCACTACCAAAAATATGTAAGGTTATTGTAGCAGACTTCTTTAGTGTTTTCATGTCTTTGTTTAAAGGCCTCTGTTAATCTGAGCCCCTAAACTGCAGTTTACTTAACTGCTGCAGACATCAGCACTGCCCAGATTTCCGACTTTGTGCTAGGAACTGATTGGTAGCGTTTGGCGCCTGGGTGTGTGTTCCAGCCAGTACTGATTAAACCAAGGTTTTGAAGATAAAACCGGGAACAGCCTTGCATGCTTGCAGCAGCTGTATTTGCATCAAGTATTGTTCTCCAAGGTGTCTTTCCTTGCGCTGTCCAGATTGCTCTCTCCACTTCTTATACATTAAATTTATCACAACGATGCTGTTTTTTAAAGGAAGGATATTTTCATTAGGCAGATATGGGAGGTGCAACATAATGTTACCTTGTGTCAGATAGTGGCCATGGTGGCTGGGAAATTCTGGGAGTTGTAGTCCAAAAAAGTAACTTTTTGAAGTTCTCATTCTCGCTTCCTCAATAGGAGTTATGAGTGCCTTTCTCTGGCAGCGTATTCCCTCCCTGCACTATCCAATTTTCTTTTCAAAACTAAGTCAGGATCCCATGACTTCTGAGCCTGTTCAGTCTTCACTGGACTGTCTTTTGGAGAGTTATAAAGGGTGCAAACCCTACATTTTATGTGTTTGTGTAATTCCTTTAAATCTTACTTGTTCTGCAGAGCACTCTGACACTCCCTTTTTGTTTTTCAGTATAGCTCTGTTTTGCCTCCATTTCCATGACACTCGTCACCTATGCTCACTATTACAAGAAGCAATATTTGATCTTGGAATATTGTCATGGTTATAAAGTTGGGGTGACTCAAATGGATTCAGCAGCATTTACAATCTAGATAGGCAGGAAGAAAAGACTACTCGTCCATATTCATGCATTGATTGGCAGTGGTGTACTAGAAGATGAAATTCGTCTGTTTTTGTTTTCCCCCTTAGAGATTTAAAATCTTTAAATGAGTGTGTGGTTGACCTGGGAATGGTGGCACACGTGATTGGGCAACCAAGAGGCAACCTGTGTTACCTTGTCAATTAGCAGCAATTAACTACAACATCATGCAGAACATGGACATGAACACCAAAGTGATTCTAGCCACTTATTTTTTATATAATAAGAGTTAACAACATTATATTTTCAGAAAAATCATGGAATTATTTATAATTTCCCCCTTTTCCCTTAGCATTTACTTGTTGCTTTCAGGTGTTATTCTGAGCAGCATTTTTAAGTGATTGGAGAAATTCCATCATTTTCTCTCTTTTTTTGGCTGGAAAATATAACTAAAAAGCAATGTGTTTAGTAACCAGCCATAGGGAAAAGGTAATGAGTGAATGAATTGCTTTTTGAAAAGGTGATGTCACATGTTCTGCCTAAAGATGAACAATTTATGGACAAAAGAATATCACATTTTATTAGGAACAGGTACCAGAAAATGGAGATTATCCCGATAAATAGGAACAATTTCTCAAAAGATAAGAGAGCTGAGTATTTCTGGCAGTGATTTGGTTTTTTCCCCCCCATGGGCTGTAGCTTGTGCAGAATTTATCCCCTCTTGTCTTGAGGGAGCTTTTTAAAGAACTTGATTCATTTTTAGTGAGTTTTATGTTGTCAGCCACTTTGATACCTTTTTTTCATATAAAAAACCAGGGTGTAAATTTTATGGATAATAAAAAGAATATAAAGCTCTCTTTTGAGAATTTCAAGCTATATGTGAAGCTGTGGTGAGGTAAGTGTTAAAGATATTCTTCTAAGTGGCGTAGAATTCCATCTAGAATCCATGCCCCTCATAATGGATTGGTAGCCTCCTGGCCCCTGGACATATGATCTAATATTGAGATAAGTTGATAAGCGCCATATATTTGCAGAAAAAGAGGAGAAAAACAGAAGTGGTGTGAGGGTTCACCATTCTTCGCCTCCCCCATTTCAAATAAATCATGAGACGTTTTTAAACCAACCAACTCGGCTTCATTTATTAACGGCGGTGTTGGTACAGAAATGTCCAACAAACTGGGAAAGAACTTCTCCTGAGGGAGTAACGGCTCCGATAGGGGCAACCATTCTTCTTTCTCAAATGGGTTAGTTGACTTCGGGGCCCATGGACCAGCCTGAACCCTTTTGGGTTCTTGGGGTACCCCATCTTCTGGATCCGGGATTAGTAGAGGGGTGGTCTCCTCATCCTCACTCCATCCCCAGAAC